CGGTACTCACAAAGAACAGTAGGTTATCGTTGCTTCAAAGTTTCTTATTGGAAGGCAATTTGCTTTGTTAAAAAACTGAACAGATAATTGAAACTGTTTATATGTTTATATGTCTGTCTTGGATGCTCATTGCATTTAAAAACCGTTTTTTTGCCATTAATTATTCCCTCTACTATGTGTATGCCTCAAATTCGAGTGTACGTACTTTTCTGGTTTTATAAAACAGGCATTAGTCTTCGATATATATGAGAATGTACTTTTTAGTAGATATAATATATTTTGGTGAAACATTTGCTTGTTTTAGATGAAAATTGGTCATGTTACAAACTTTACTCACTGACCTAAAATGCAAAAGAAATCCGCTTAGGCAATTATTTTGTATCATCAATTTGCTCAATCTATTTAGGTATCTTGATCGATTTTATATAAACTGTTTTAATAATGATACAAGCAGAACAAAACGGATCTCAGTCGTAACTTGAATGCCCAGAATTCCGCACTTATCTTCAGATCTTTGTGTATACAAAGTGGAAACGAAGTGACAGATTGTTTTGGTATTTTCTTAACTTTGACCGACGTAGAATGAAGTCGTAACTTTTACACTGGCGATAGACAATGGTAGGTATGCATAAATAAAAATTCCGGAATAGGAATTGAGATAATTTCCACAGTATTTCAGCGCTTCTCACATGAACATTTTTCAATGCTCACCCATTTCTTTTCCAACGGTAAATCAATGTCGTAAACAATATTTCATATCTAATATATTCAAAATCATTGATATAAAATTATCTATGCTCTCACATAGACATTTTTTATATGTAGCTATAGTGGCTCGAAAATCTATTCCATAACTTATAGATCTCTACGGATACAGGGTGTTTCAGGGTCAGCGTTCATTGGAATATTTCGGGAAGTAATGCGATTTGAATCCTGCAAATTTGGATAATGGCATTTTCGGAAACGCTCTTTTCAGATGAAATAACACCGACAGTATACGACTTCCGGCTGTACCGGAAATTGTTCCAAACTTCATTATTTTAAACGGAACGCCCTCTATAATGTTTTTGTTTGCAAAATCTCAGTTGCAAAATTAGATATTTCTGTGCTTATTTTCGCATATAGCAATGTGAAAAAATTACCATTTTTATTCTCTAAAAAAGAAAATTTCAAAACTTTATTAAATTGAATACGATGATACGTTGCTGATTCATTCAATGGGCGGTATTTGCATAAGTTTGTGGAATTTATATTAAATGAAATAAGTGGAATTCTGGGAGACATTTTTTTGGGCGAGAATCTGTCCAAAATTCACTTTTTGAATTTGTTCAAAAGTGACACTTTCTGTCGGTTTTTTCTAGTAATTTTTCGTCTTTATTCAAAGACTTTCACAGTCAGTTTCAACTTTCAACAGTTTTGAAATTTCTCCAATTTTTCGGCAGTTTTTCGAAAGACTATAACTGTCAAAATGACATTTTTCAAATATCGTTTTGCTTCTTTTTTCACAAAATGCGTTCTAGAAGGTTTGTGTAGAATTTTTTATGAAAAATTAAGATTCATGGCATTTTACTTCAGTAACCATGTTTCGCGTATTTCTCTTAATACTGGGCTTAGGTGGAAAATTGAAATTCAGCAAAAGCAACATAATATGAATGTTGGCATTTTTAACAAAATTCTTGGGCATTTGAGGTCGAAAACCCGAATATTTCAAAAAAGTATTTTTGCTGTGGACGTTTTTCTCTTAATAACTCTGAATCTTGTCCTCATTTGGCTCGTTAAGACTGAGTTGTAAAGAGCACAATCTTCTGCCAGATCGGCTTTTTAGGCAATTTAAATCTGTTAAGAAACGTAAGATTTATTACGATTTGAACGTCGAGCAAAAAACATTCTATTTTAGACGGTAGGCGAACTTTATATGGATTTTGGTGCCTAACAAGCCTTTTCAGACACACAAAAAATCCCAATTTCTTTAAACAAAATAAAACTGCGTCGATGTTCCCTAAAAATTACGGTTGAGAAAACTAAACTCGGTTAGAAAACTGGAGAGTTATGAGGGTTTGAAGGCCGGATATCCAATTTTGAAGCCAAAAATATTTTTAATCTTCACACCAGATGCATTTAAATGTCAAAAAATATTCATAATTCTTATACTTTGAATAATAATTGATTTTTGGAGAAGAAAATTGAAATATTTTATTGAAAATTGTACGCAAGTGGTGAACCTGAATTTTTGAAAAAAAATTATTTGCGCTCGCTTAATTAAAAATTCATATCTCCGAGACTAAAGCAGGCTCGGAGTTGCATGTTTTCCAATCTTTAGTGAATACTTGACCCTATAGGCTTAGAAAGTTTCAGAGAAATCCATCTTTAATCTGATTTTTGCCGGTTTTGTAAATATGACTCACAAAATTGATGGTGTCTGCCAATTGCGCCCGGTTACTTAAAAATTCGCATCTCCCACACTAGGCACACAGGCTTTTGGGTGTTTCGCTTAAAATAAGTAGGCTTGAGACAACTTCTGTTATAACCGGAAGTCGCATAATAGCACTGTTATTTCATCTGAAAAGAGCGTCTCCGGAAATACCATTATCCAAATTTGCGGGATGCAAATCGTATTACTTCCCGAAATATTCTAGGTGGACTCTCACTGTGAGCCACTCTGTATAATATGGCACTGCCAAAATATGACGGATTATTATCTTCATACAACAGGTCTAAGTTCTATGGGCGAACATCACAACAATTTGAAAATGGTTTTAGTAGATTGTTTAGGTATGGATAATTAGCAGGACAGATGTTACTTACAGAAATTCATATTCTGCATAGTTTACAAAAGTTCAACTGAGGGTAATTTCCTTATTTCGAATAGAAACGTACGAAAATATTCAGCTCTTGAACCAACACAGGACGTTTAGTTTATTATCAAACAATATATCCATGTATTTCAAGTCTGTCTCAAGCAATCGAAATGTTCAAACATGCAAATAAAATGTTGAAAAATGAAACAAAATCGGGTGTCGATAGCATTTTTCTATAAGAAATTAAGATTATTTGTATATATCTAAATCTAAAGAGTAAATGGAAGAGAGAAATTAAAACTGTAAGTATCTGGAATTTTTTGAAAATTGAGCTTTTAATTTCAAGAGCTTTATGAGTTGAGCTAATAATACCTTGTGAATTTTTTTTGGTCTCTTTCCAAAACGTCTTGAATACTTACTAAATACTGCTTATAAAATTATTTTCAAACTAAACTTACTTTCTTAGTAAATAATTATTTTACAATTATTAATACAAATAGTTATTTCATACCTGTACCTGCAGAATCAAGCAGGAATTGCGTCTTGATATTGATAAATCAATCAATCAATCCTTAAGTTCGCTCACTCGTCTTGTTGGCTAAAGATACTAAAGAATATTGGTGCAAAACCTCGTCAGTTTTGAAGCAAACTAAATTATTTGAAATAATTTAACAGGCAGTTCGTAAAATGAGCTTTGATTGATATATAATATGAATTAATATTTCGATCTAATGGCCCAAAGAAAGTTATTGGGCGAGCATATGCAAAAGTTGATAGTAGAGCTTACCAAAAGATGTAAGAACAATAAAAATATCTTTGCCAATAGCTAAATTATTTATCAACTGCACAGAAGTCGGTGCGGCTTACTTTATTATCTTTTTACAGCACATTAAGGCATCAGCATATTGACACGTTTCTTATGTGTGTTCTTTTAAACTTGTTTAGTCCATTTAATAAGCGTATGTTTAGCTGTAACTACTTTTTTTTGCTGAATTAAAAGCTCGAAGTTGCATCTTCAAAACAAATCTCTGTGAAAACTAAACTCAACAATTTTTGAATAAAACAATTGAAAAAATTGTGTAAATTTCGGGTTTTGTGTTGAAGAATACCAGTTTCGTTCTTATGCTCAGTTCAGAATTTTGATTACAGTTTAATACTTCAGCATCATTTCATAGGCATTAGCATTTATTTGTCGATTAAGTTAAATGCATAATTTTGTAAATCGCTGCATAAAACACAATCTGATTATTTGCTTAACATAGAGTGACAAAGAATGGTACATCAGGCACCCTCCCACGTATTCGTGCTTCTTGCAACGTCATCAGTTGGCGTTATCACCTGACAACACGAAATCCGCTTTATATTATATGTGTACAAGAAGTCATGCAGTGCGACAAATGTCCTATAATCAGATCGGACAAGCAACAACATTCGAACTGGAAAGAATTCTGACAAACATACCTTAAAAGCAACTATTTGCAACGACGAAATTCTTTATTTTAATAAAACTGAGCCCGATTCTAAATGTTAATTTTTTAATTACTTTTAGCTGTAGTTATTGTAAAATTTACCATCCACTTGGTTGACTGCGGACGACTAAAATGTTATATTTTTTATTACTTAAACAATAATATTCGGGTTAAAATGAATTGACAAAATTAGATGAATTGCACAAAAGTATTTTTCGTACCTACAAAAACCAAATGAACTATGTAGTTGAATAGCCTCTAATAATTCTGAATATTAAGCCTGGCGGTATATCAGAAACCAATGAGATTGCCTTTAAAGCTTCTAGTTTTGTTCAGTAAATTTGCAATTGGATAATTACATATTGAGATCTTGTGGAGACAATTTAAAATCAATTTAAATGTTCATTGTCTGTAAGCTTCTCAGCGTTCATTCCAGTGGAGACTTTCAATAATTTCCAAACTCGGATTTAATGGAATATTGATTTCTTCTGCAATCGGTTCTGTGCAAGCACTAAGTCTTGGAAACGTGCGAACTTCTAGGAAAAAAGCCCTTTCGTTATGTTTATAGATTTTTTACTTGATAGCGGCATTTGAAATGCATTTTTACTGAAGGCAACTTACTTTTTTCACTCCTCTGCTTGCTTTGAAAAAACTTTGGGTATAAAAGGCAGACTTTAACACGCAAAATCATTTACATAACAACATTTATTTACAACAAAAATTGTGCTAATTTTCTTATAAAATTGTGGTTGTACTTTGGTGGGCAAAGCTCTTGGAAACTGTTGAATTCACATGTCTAGTCTTTGTAGGTTTTGTAATGTTGAGGGTGGATGGCATGACCTTTCCTTTCCACTACCGCATTGAAACCATTTTCTTTGTCAGCTTCGTATTTCACAATTCGAATAGTGCCATCAGGCTCATGGAGAGAGTATTCGCCTTTCACTTTGTTCCCGTAGCGATGCTCTTGTTGCTCGTGTACGTCGTGGTGTTTGGGATCTTTCACAGAGTATTTGAATTCGTAGTGAGGAATGGCCTGGAAATGCATATATTTTTTTAAATCACCATGTGCTGCCAGCTGATCTGCTTATCTTTGTAGGAATGTTATAGTAAAGTAAAACTCCTGAAAAAAGTCAAAATTCTTACGTAATAGTCAATATCCTTGTAATGATGATGTTCTTCTTGGGCCAAAACAATGCCAATCAAAGCGCACAAAACTAATATCTGTGGAAAAAAAATATATTCATTTTATCTCGGAGAACACAAACTATTCGAATTGTAATCCAGTTTCAATGAAATGCAAAACATATGCGGTATAAAAATTAATTAACCTACCTTAAACATTTTTAGTAGTTGGTAGACAGTAGAACACTAAGTTGATACTGCCTTATTCAAGCAAGTCCTTTGCTTTTATATCATTGCCAACAATACGCTCACCTAATAAGTTTTATGAAAATTTCGTTGCTAATTAATTCATGAATTTAAGAAAGTAAAGCAAACTAAATTAAATTACCTTAAGTATATCGAAAAAACCGAAGCAATTCGATATATATTTCTGTTATTTACATATTAATCCAATCGCCAAATCAGAATTGATACAGATATTATAGATTCATACAAGCATGTGCGAAAGTACCTAGTTAATTATTTCAAGACCAACTTTTCTGTTTGCTTTAAGACTTTGACTATACCAAGTAGTGAGCTATTGGACTAATATTCTCATGCAAGTTTTAGAACTTAAAGTTATTTAATAGCCAATGAGTAAATATTATCAATCTGTCCAAGATACTCCTATAAAATTTTCCTTCGGTTGGTAAAACTTTTTATCCGAATTCACAGGAAATTAGTTTAAAAAACGACAAATCCAAAAATCAACACTAATTAGGGGAAGTGTCTTCATTTAAATTGGCCTATTTTTCGGAAATTGGTCGTATTTATTTAGAGTAATAAAAAGTGTAAACAAATTCGTTTAATTGAAAAGATTGATTAGAGCAAAGCGAACTTCTATTAATTAGTTAATTGGCAAAAGTTGCTTTATTTTCATTATTATTTATGTTTTCTTTATTTTGCTGAAAAGATGTTTTAATTTTTCAGATGTACAGGTTTATGATTTCGTTCTCCAACTATTACAACAATGAACAAATATCTAACTAAATTGTGTATAGGGATTTAATACTGTACTATAACTTTGACAATAACATATAATAATCCGCAATAACAACAAACAGAAATGCGTGTTTGGTAAAACTGGACGAAGTATTACTCGAGTTATTTTTGGTACTATGAAAAAATAATTTAAAAAAATATGCCGACCTTCCAACTTTTATTACACGTTTTATTATTTAAATAACTTTTCTGACTGAATTTATATTTAAAAATGGTCAGCTTGCTTAAATGCAGGTGCACATTCTGCTTAAAACGTTTGTTATTTTATATTTTAGCTGTAATGGAATTTATGTCTTAGATTCTTAGTTTGCTCATAGCTTATATGCAAGTGTACATTCTGCTTAGTTTGCTGGTAATGAGCATATAACTCCCGAACTAAGTTTCTTGAGAGAAATATCTGTTTTTTAAGATTTATTCCAGAATGTCAGAAAACTAAATACTTATAGATTAAAAATTCTGAATTATATCATGGCAGCAACTAAACAAATTTTCGTTGATCTGAACGACTATGGTTCTTGGAAACTGAACAGTCATTCTTAGAAACGAAAAGTGATACACAATCATCAAGGCAACACGCAACTATATACAACATATTTTCCGTTGACAAATGGTTACTGAAACTGCTGTAACTGGATAGAGCGCTCGACGATTCCGCATTGGTTTTGTACTAATGCGAACCACTTTTTCAGGTTTATGAGACGGTTGCAAAAAAAACGGTTAAATCGGCTAGCTGTAACTACGGTTTCAGGTTACTCGTTTGGAACACTGTTATTTCAGCGGTTCCGTTAAATACCGACCATCCCTAGCACACAGTTGAAATAGCGCTACGAGTGTTCTTCAACTAAAACTTGATACGGAATTATTACCAGTTTCCCGAACGAGGAAAATATATGCGAAACTTTTAAATAATTGTCCAAGTCTGAGTGTTTGTTTCTGTGTATCAATCCAGAATTAATCTTAGTTGTTGGTAACTTGTACAGTACAGTCTTCAGTATCTCTCTATCCTATCCATCTCTATCTCTATCAATCCAGAATTAATCTTAGTTGTTGGTAACCTGTACTGTACAGTCTTCAGTATAACTTCAACAATATTTTTTTAAGTTTAACAATTTTCACTTTAGTGGCAAAGTTTCACTTTTAAAAGAATCAGTATGCATACAAATAACATTCTAGGTTCTTCGATTAATATGAAGAAAATTTGTGCTAATCAAACTGTCACCACAAGAAACCCAAGTAAATTATAGACCTCGGACATTTTTATAAATCCGAAGTTTTTCCAAGACGTTGTCTTGCTAATTTGTTTATCAAATATTTGTTGACTATCTGCCTGGATGCTTTATTGTCGGTTGTTTTAGAAAACGATTATAAAACTAAAATTTTTCTAAAGAAAAATGATTTTTTTGGTAAGTTTTGCTCTATTTTCTAGTGTGTACTTACTAATAGTCTGTTAACCGACCATTAAACTACTCTAAACTAGGGCGGAATAGCAAAGCTGGGCGAATGGAAAGACAATGTGTTTTTCGTACTTCGTAATCCGCAAAAGCCTTAAAAGCCTACAGGCTTAGCTTTGAAAAGGAATGACGCCAATTGCGAACTATCCTGTACATATTAGTGCTTGCAAATTGTGTTAAATCATTAACGATTTATTCATTAAAGAAAGAACCTGCAATCCTGGTATCTTGTAGCTCGTCTTATGTCAAGCCTTCGTATATTAGTGTCACAGAAGCGAGAAAAAATCATTTCTGCTCGCGAATATTTTCCTGTCAATAATGAAACGTATATTTCCAAGCCATATAAGTCTGTACAAGTGCCACGTAAATGTATAAAATGAAAAATATTCATGACATGCCTTTAAAAGAATGGTGTGTACTGTTGACATTACTTTTCCTTTCAACTAACAAAGAAGTAAAACCAGAATTACATTGGAATAGTGCCTATTTATATATACTCTTACTGCTTTTGTACGACATCAAGTTTAATTAATGTATTCATAATTATCAGAAAGCACCATGTGTACCCTAAATACCCACTAAAGCAAGAAACCAAATAATTATGAAAAAAGGTTTTGTATTTAAATCAGGTTAGAAAGTCTGCGTGTAACTTAACGCCAAAGCTGCCTTAGATATTGTATTTACATAATCAAAATGTTAACTAGCTGATTTTGTTAAAATACTTATGTCCAGTGTGAGCAAATTATATTTTACTTTAGCAGCTACGCTTTTTGTGTTGGAGGCGTTAAGAGGCAAATTTATACAGGTTGATTTACGTAAACCGTTCATTAGAAGTTTTCCAAAGTATAGTTGATTTCAAAACTTCAAATTTTGTTTCCGGTTATGACGAGTCGTGCTGAAACCATGTAAAATACATTTAGCCCTCCAGCTATACAGGATGTAGGAAAAGTATAACCTAACTTTCTTATTTTAAATGCAAGCCCCTAATTTCTTTAGCATGGTTGGATTGGCCTTCGAATTGCGAGTTTGGGCCACCCTCGTATTGTTACCTTATCTCTTATAGTTTTTGATATATGTCAATACATGCGAGAAACGAAATAAATTGCCAGTTTATTTGCGTGTCTTGCCAGTCGGATTCATGTTTAATCGAAATATTGGCATTTTGGTGCTGAAAAGTAAGAATGTGTTGATGAGTTTATCTAAAGTAAACTTTTGATGCAAGTGAATCACAGCCGATACGGAAATGGTTCAGGATGAGGTCCCGGCATGCCGAAATCTGGTAAGATGGATCTTTCATATTAGTTCATATATATAGGGTGTTCGAGAAAATTTTTCATTTTTTTTCAACATTTTTCAAAACACTTAACTTGAACTGGCGGAGGTTTTTTGAGAGCGAACATATATTTCACGGCTTTTTTACATTCCAATTTCAATGGAGCTGAGAATTGTTTCCTGTACACTAAACATCTTTTTTTCTTTCCAGGTGACACGATGCAACTTTCGGTAAGTTTGGCATTACATTTTACCTGGCAGATCGCTTTTAGATATTGTTGACTTGTATTTTATTAAATTATTGCATGTACTATTTATGCTACCAGGAGAGACGAGAAAGTATCTGGATTCTGTATTGCGTTATTTCAATTTCTTGTTTTAATACGAACATACCCAGATAGCACAAAATATTA